AATACCATCAACATACAACTGATGTCAAACGGTGCAGTGCCTCGGTCGCAAGTGACCTCGGCTTATTCACTTGAAATGCTCGAAACCACTCTATTAAATCGAGGTCAACACCAAATACTTAACCAACCTCGGATTAAAACAAGTCATGCATTTTGGATTCTATAATGTAAAATTAGCAACAGGTTGCTGAATAATCTTTACCATAATATTTTGTCAAAAAAACTGTTGAAAATGGACCAGTCGATGTTACAACGCCACGGCCACAGACTACATAGATTAAATAAAGTGAAATTCATGACAAAGACTGCATGATGTTGATCGATTAAGCTGAGGTCGCTCGCGGCCGAAGCCGTACTGTTAATATCATATCAATACAAAATGGATGCAGGGCCATAGCTAGGAGAGGGGCATAGTGGGGCAATGCCCTACCTTAAAATACCAATGCCCTACTTTAAAAAATGCCTTTAAACTGTTTGTTCATTGTATGACACGATGAAAAAAAAATTTACTACTCGCGTAGCGACATCTAAACAATTCCGAAGTAATCACGGTTTGTTATAATCATAGATGTATATTAATTCTTTATTTAGCCCATAGGTGGCAATTGAAGTATGTGTAGGAGTTGTGCCGGTATTGCAATCTGTGGTATGGGGAATCGCCATATAAACTAAAATAAGCAGATTAGAGGTTTTTTGTCTATGGTGTTGGTTAGTGTTGTGTGGGTACGGTGTTTCAGTCGATTAACGACACAATTGTTAGTTTATTGCTGTGAACTGAAGATTGATTGATTGATTTTTGCGATGGATATACGGACTTTCTTTAGTAAAAAGTGAAGAGTTGAAGAAGAAATTGACCTCGATGAACCGCATTCCTCAAAACAGATGCAAGCACAAGATATGTACAATTGCTACTTCTAATCCTATGGAACTCAGTACAGGTTTGGTGAAACATGTTGGTAGTATTAGTCATGGTATTCCTTTTGATATTGCACAAATCGGAGAACCAGTAAAGCAAGTTATTTTAGACATATACCCCAAACAAAATAATAGGGCCTTTGTAGCGGACTGGTTCAAGCGATATAAATGGTTGCAGTATTCTATGGAGAAAGATGCTGCGTTTGGTTATCCTTGCCAGCAATTTTTGCTTTATGGTAGCAAACGAACTTCTTACACTTCCACATGTTTGAAAAACTGGAAAAACACCACTGATGCAAAAACTGGTTTCCCAAAACATCAAAAATCAATTTCCCATACACAAGCCATGGCGATGTAGCAAACTACGTAGAATATCTACAACTACCAGTGTCAAAACGTTGTTAAATAGAAAAGTATTAGAAAAAAATCGGTATTACGTGAAATCTATTGTTGAAGTAATACAATTTCTAGTTGTCAACGAGTTAGCGTTGCGTGGAAATTATATCTTGGAGGAAGAAAAAGAACAAGGATTATTTCAGAATTTGTTTGAATGCACGTGCATGGACGATCCGAATTTGAAGGAGGCTCTCAGACACATACCACAAAATGCAACGTATGGTTCACCTGAAATTCAAAATCAAATAATTCAAGCAATGGTTCAAGCAGTACGAAGTTCCATTGTTAAAGATATTAAGGAATCTGACGTGAACTTGTTTACTCTAATGGAAGATGGAACAAGAGATAAAAATAACCGCGAAAATATTGCAATAGCAATACGTTACGTTAAGGGTGGAATCGTCAATGAGTCATTGCGGACAGTTACAACTACTGAAAATCTTGATGCAGCCACTTCTACGGAATTGACGTTAAATACCTTTAGGGAAAATAACATTGACCTCTCGCGTATGCTAAGCCAATGCTATGACGGCGCAAGTGTAATAAGCGGAAAAGTTTCTGGAGTTGCGACCAGAATGGCAAACAAATTTTGCCAAAAAGTTCCTTACGACCACTGCTATAACCATCGCCTGCATTTCATAGTCATCAGGACTATCTCAGAAATGACTTTCATCGTTTATTTTTTGATCAATGCGTCATGTTACATGAATTCTTTCACTATGGCAAAATAGCTGCTTTGTATGGTGGAAAAAGGATTGGCCGGCTCCTCAAGCAGCGTTGGTCAGGACACTTGGCTGTTACAAAAGTTGTAAACGATAATTATTCAGCGATTTTGACGACTTTAGATGAAATTAAAAATGACAGATTTAACGGTGATGACGTCGCCAAGAGTGTCGGTATTAAAAAGGTCATGCTCAGTTTGGAATTCCGAATGGCTATGGTTGTGGCCAAAATAATCTTATTCACGCTTTAGCCTGCAGACGCAGCTTTACAAGCCCAGAGCGCAGGATTAAAAGATGCCATAAAAATCGTAAAGTGTGCCCAATATGAAATAACGAAACTGAGATCAGATGATAGGTATCATCAAATTTTGGGAGAAGCTAAGTCTATGATAAGCGGCGATTCCGAAAATAGGACCCAGACCCAGAAGAGACAAGTCAAAAAATCTAATCGTATGGATGATTACTTGATGTATGGTCCTTCCTGTTCCTGCGCGAGACAAAATATAGAAGACCAGAACGATCAGCCATTTAAATCTCAGTATTTTGAAACTTTGGACATACTAACAGCTGAATTACAAAGAAGATTTTCGGACAACGACGATTTATTAAATTCATTAGTGAGTCTTGATGAATTGGATGTAGACAAAATGGTACCTTTGAAAAATCTGGATAAGTGTGACAAAATTAATGAAAACTATGTTGCTACTATTGTTTATTTATGTCCAATTCACAATTTTACCTAATTTTGCAGGTCTAACAATTCCATCAAGGGAAGAAGCTGCTGCGGTTAAAGCTTATGTGAGTCGTCGCGAAGATAGAACGGAAAACACAATGCAAGGTTATTACAGACAGCGAGAGGCCTTCAAAGATACTTATGAACTGTTTGCATCTGTTTGCGAATCTACATTTTCAACTTTGACTGCAATCAATAGGCCTCAGAGGGTATTTCTTGCTTTTGAAAAGAAAAGGACAAAGTCAGTTGATCTCAATGCAGTCCTTCGCATTTTTAACAATATGGAGGAATGAAGAATTCAGCTGTTTTAAGGAAAGACTTTTATTAGTATAGTGATTATAATATGTTTGGAAAATTAATATAAACCTGAATAAATGAATGTTTTGCTATTATCTACCTATCACCCTCCTGCAAATTAAGTACTACCTCACTCACTCAGTCATATTCACAAGTACGATGAAAATCGATTTACCAGATCAGATCAAGTACAATTTTTTCTTCCGCCCTACCTGTAACCACCGTTGCCCTACTTTAAATTCAACTCTAGTTACGGCCCTGAATCGATGTCAAACAAGGCAGCACCTCGAATTGAATGATGATATTAACTATAATATTATGGCAAAATACCATAATTATACAATCTGGCAATACTGGAACTATGTGTCCTCGCTGATAATCTGGTCATATGTGCTGAAGGCAAGGATAAGCTACAAAATAACTGAAATGTTGGAATAACGAAAATGCTAACTTTAGATTAGCCATCATCTCAGGAAAAACTAACGTCATCTCGAACGAAGAAAATGTGGTAAGTCTGCAAGTGGAAAGAGTTATTATAACGCACTTTCTAGGACGGACATAAAGAAACTATCAAAAATACAAAAATGGTGCTATACAGAACAATTTATCACCTATTTTGATTAATGGCTGCGAAAACTGGATTATGACAAAAAGGCACCAGAGCCGAATACATACGATGAAAATGAAATATTTGTGTGTACAAGTGAAACGATAGTGTGAGAAAGATTTTGGTAACTGATGGTAAATCCTGGACGGAGGCAATGAAGTTAGCAGCTATCAGAGAGGAGTGGATAATTTTTGTTTCAATCGAACACCGTTAAATGGAGAACTAGAGGGGAGAACCTCAACATCTCCGGTTATAAAAAGGATTGATTATGATGATGTTGCTTTCAAGTTTACTAAGAAACTACAGATTAGACGAAACACCACCTAATTTAAATTACTTGAACTAAAGATAACATAATATCTTGAAGTTAACAAAACGAAAACAATGTTTTCTATGAATTTTCCAACATTAAACTATAAAAACATTAACGTTTTAATCTTGACATTTAAGGGTATTTTTAAATTTCTCATTATGTGGGAACTTTCAAAGGCCTCCTGAATAATTAACGTTAATAATTCCGGACAAAGACCGCAAATTACGAACCTTTACATAAAGTCATGCATAAAATATAAACGTCGTACCGCGGAAGATGAACATTATTTTAGAGCAGTTTTCTAATCTTTGCACAGCTATATTTCACGTCTACCTTATTCAATATTAAATACATATACCGTTTACGCTAATCGTTTAATCTTTAGATAATTTTTAATTAAACGCTTTATAATACGTTAATGCATTTTTCTGTTTATAGAAGAAAATAGAACTTCTAAATTAATGCAGTTAAAGTAAGGAACGTTTACCAAGCGTTCCTTTTACTAATTAATTGAAAAACTACGTGCCGAGCTTCAGTTGAGAGCTGCTTAAAAACTAGGCACGACCTCCATTAAAATTGACCGGTTGTAAAGATGGATTAAATATATTTATCTACGCCCTTGGTAAATTACTCACTATATGACAATAAAAATAAATGAGCTCTATATTTTTACATTAATATTTTTTCATTTTTTAGAATTCAACACCTAGATCAAAAGCGAACACAAGAACAGGATGTGCTCTATAGGGAGTCTTAAGAGGGAGGGAAAGGATCTCACATTCGCGGATGGGAAAATACGAGGAAAATCCATTTACCGCGACCCCCGAGGCATTAATCCGGACCCGATTTTTCCCATTTTTATTCGAAGCCGTCTCGTTCCACCTCGTTCTATGTGTAGGGCTTTCGTGGAAATATACGATCTGAAAGCTGTTGCTGGCAGAGTGCTAGAACAGTTTCCGGTGGTCCCTGATACAAACGTTTAAGAGATGGTTTAAAGAGAAGCGAGCCCTAGGCTTACCTTTGTGAAGAGCAACAGCTGGAGTTTACGCTTCCGCTTCATCTTATCTCGAAGCTTTTTATCCACTTGCATGTTTACCACGTATCTTGCTACTAAAGCCGATCGGATTAAATAGCTGAAGGTTGTTAAAGCTAGAAGAGTTGATGGCAGGATTAAACCATAAATGAAGGCGTTCTTATCTAAAAACCTTAAAAGTACACATCGTAATTAAACTCCTTTTATTACTTGATAACCGCGAATTGAATATTTATTCCATTCGAATAAATCAACAATTTCGAACGATGTTCATGATGAAAAGGTACGACCGCATTTGCGGAATACAATTTACAGGAATAAATCGTGCTCGGGCGACAAAAGCGTAGGACCGAACAGTTGCATTAACGGGACAATTCGCAAATATGAAAGCTCATTTTGACCCATCATCGTTTTCTCGTTAATCAACTTGTGAAATATGATTACAAATGAATTTACAATATTAAGAACTGTTAGTGTAGTAGTAAAAACGTTATAAATTACTTATTGTTTAAGGCTTGACTGTTTAGAAAAAATTAAATATATAATATATAAGTATTTCGATAACCTAATAAGTATTTCAAAACAACATTTTAAGAAATTAAAACAATTTAAGATGCAATTTAAGAAATTGTTGCCAACTGTTTAGTTGGCAACAATGTTGACTTTTTTTAAATGTTCACCGTGTATATTGTCTATTTTTTTACGTTTGAGTTTTAAATTTACTATTGATTTAAAAGAATAAGTTTAAAATTGTTTATGTGTCAACCTAACTGGATTATTACGGTTCATTTAATTGTTCAAAATTAACCTTTTTTTAAATTTTACTCTACTTAGGTTGGCAATAAATTATTTTTGGCATTATTGAAACGTCAAATTTAGGGATATAATGCATACAATTCGTTTTTCTTCTTAATATCTGTCAAATTGTTGTAAAGTTGACAAATTAACAGGGATTTTGTTTTATCATGTATGTTTATTTGAGCTTTCCTTATTCAAAAAATCAAAAGATGGTTCTGAATTACGTAGATGAGTAAAAAACTATGATAAATGTTCGCTTAACATTAAAATAAAAACTGAAGGAGTTAGGTTTACTGTGCTACATTTAGGTTACAGATGTGGCTTTTTAGAAAATTGCTTGTACCTTTTTAATAGCACGAATACTGACAAAGATTACCACAAGACGATGAATTTCCAAATCTTTTACAACTGGGTCAACAAAAATCTAATTCCAGCAGTACAAAATTTATCTGGCAAAAATGTAGTGATAATGGGTAATGCGCCCTATCATTCAGTTCTCAAAGAAAAAACACTCAAAAGTGTTGTAATGCAATTTTTAATCGAACATAATGTAAATGTTAATGAACATAAAACAAAAGCTCATCTTTAGGAAAAGATCGTGCTATTTTTACAACAAAATACAAAAAGATATGTCGTCGATGATCGTCTTCTGCAGAATATTATTATTTTTAGAATTGTCAGCATAATGCAATTTTATTGAACTAGTTTGGGCCTATTTATATTAAACCTCGAAGACTCTGATTCGAAAGGTAATAAACATGAATATGATGCATAAAACATGTTTTGGGGTGTTTATTTGCCATATGTTTACCTAGAAAATGTGTTCTATTTCATAACTTTGTGGCACGTTTCTACAATAAATATGTACTTCGTTAAAATCGTATTTATCTAAAAATGTATTTTAACCTAAATTAATTAGTTACTGAAAATGTTACTAAAACTCAGGAAAACAACATAAATTTTATAAGGGTCCTAGATAATATCAACAGAAACCCTAAAAAATTTACCTTGACAAGTTTTATAGAAAAAAACGAAGATTTAAACGAATATTCAAGATTTATTCTTTATCGAATCCAATTAGTTAATATTTCAATTACCTGCAGAGAATCTGCTTCGACCTTACACAGCTGTTTTTAATGCTTTACTGTTTTAAAGTACTCATCATTAAATAACGTAAAAACTGAATTATAGTAGGAACCACAAGAGCTGGCAGTGACTTGACGTTTAAAAAAGGTATGAATAAGGTATGAATCAAGATATGGACGTACGACTTAGATTATTTCAACACATACATTTAAATGTATGTTAGGTTAGTAATGGAGGTTATATGTCAAACATTGTCAAATTTAGGAGAGGTTAAGCAGCGAAAAATCGTTAATATTTATTTATTTATTCGGGATACGAACAGGGTTTCCCCCATAATAGTATCCACTAAAAGAATTCATACAAACAACAAAACAAAAACAAAAAAAAAAGAAATCAACATGTAACAAAATCGAAAACAAAATAGCAAAATAAATAACTAATTCTAGATATAACAACAAAAACAAAAAATAGTGTTCCTAATTAATAATACAAGCCAGATTGAACTCGAATTACACAGATATTCAATGGCAGATATTCAAACTTAATATACTCCTGCGGAAAGACCCCAACGAGGAATAAAACATATCACACATCGAACAATGACGATTGTAAGAGTGCATCAATCGCGATAAAGGTGAGTTGTAATGGCAATTGGTAGTAGAAGCGGGCAATCGGAAAAGACATTGATCTCGAGTGGGATAGCTAGGAATTAAGAGAGGAATGTGTCTCACAAGTTCTGGCGAGTCAACAAAACCGTTCATTAGTTTAAACAAAAATAGCAAATCCGTAGCAGCTCGACGCCGCGCAGTGTACGCAAACCGAATACAGTGCATCTTTGCTCGTAGGAGCAATAAGGCAATGCGAATTTGTGAGCCAAATAACGCACAAATCTGACCTGTAAGGCCTCAATGCGGTCAATGTACACAGCATACGCAGGATTCCATACAACTGAAGCAAAATTAAGTATGCTGTTTACGTAAGCCATGTACAAAGATTTGATGCACTGTAGATTGGTAAATGAATTTGACATTCTAATAATGAAACCTAAGCTCCTATTCGCCTTACTGATAAGTTCCTCTACGTGGTATAAGAACAACAGTTTAGAATCGAGCACTAAGCCAAGATCCTTTACCCTAGACAACACACTTAAGGGTCCGGGTCCAAGCTTATAGTTTTGATTTATAGTGTATCTTTTTCTGGTGAACGTTATTTGACTGCATTTACCATAGTTTAGAAAGAGATAATTATAAGTACAATAGGTTTGCAAACGATTAAGATCCATTTGAAGTTTTTCGCAATCAGAAGAAGATTCAACTTTGGAAAATCTTTTACAATCATCGGCATATAGCAAAAAGTTACTATGGTGAAAGCACTCGTAGATATCGTTTATATAAGCCACAAACAGAACCGGACCCAAGTGACTGCCCTGAGGCACTCCTAAAGTTACCGGAATAAAGTTAGATATGTAATTATTAATTTTTACAGCCTGGCATCTATCAGAGACATAAGACGCCAACCAAATTAATAACCCATCAGTCAGGTCAAATTTTTGCAATTTGGACAAGTTTGAATGTAATTAATATAAGATAGGAGATTGGATTCTACAGATCGGCTACGAAGAAAACCATGTTGCTGCTGCATAATAAACGGTTGTATTGAACGGTATATTTTATCATAAACAATTTTTTCAAAAACCTTAGATAAATATAAAATAATAAATATTATTTTATAATAAAATTTGTGTAATTATTAATTTATTTAACAAATACTTTAAAAGGGTATTTACAGGTCACAAGGGATTAGTAAGTTTTATTTAAACAGCGGTTCATAATTTATTCATTAATTATTAATTTATTTTATTTTCGGCTTGTGAAAACACTAAAAGATTCATGACAACGCTCACAAGACGTTTCGATTTGAGGTTATAATTATAGAGTTACATCCCTTAGAAGAACAGACCTACTTTTTCCACGTGGCTATTTGAATTGTACAGCAGACATATTAAACTAATGCTATCTCTTTCTAACACACATTACTTTCTAGCGGTTTGTGAGCTACGTATGGCATTTGTAAGAGCGGAACACGATGATTTACTGCCAGCTCTCGTGGCGTCTACTATACATTGTATTTTCATTTTTCATATTTTTGTTTAAATTTAAACTTACATGACCTCTTGTAATTGTCTTTTAGAGTATTTAAAAGCTTATTAAATTACTTTTAAGTTGACAAAAAATCAGTTTCGTTGCATATAGAGGTGTTTTTTTAAGCCAGATAGAACTTACGAAAGGGTTAACTGTTAAACGAACCGTCATACTGCGCTCACTTTTTGATAGTTATGATCAGTATACTCTGGCAAATCATCATGAATAGATTAACGTTTGAACAACGCTACCAAACTATCCACATTTACTTTGAAAATCAGTAATCAATTCGCACAACTTATAGGCGACTTGGTGATTTGTATGGCGCACATAATCGTCCATCTGAGCAAGCCATCCGTCGAACAGTGTATAGATTTCATACCACATACTCTCTAAATGATGCAATAACACCACCACGTCGAAGGAATGTGCGTACTGAAGAAAATCTCGCCGCTGTAAACGAAAGTGTGGAAGAAGATCCAAGTTTATCGATTCGTCGTCAGTCGCAGGATTTGGGGCTCTACGTGGAAAATTTTGCGCAAAGATCTTGGACTACACCCGTTTAAGATCCAGCTGGTGCAGGAATTAAAGCCACGAGACCATCATATGCATCGTTGTTTAGCCGATTGGGCTCTAGAACAGTTAGAAACTGATCCGATGTTTTATCGTGTTAAATGTGCTGGTGAACACTGGACCAACGAATGCACTAAAGCCAAAGAAATCCCGGCTAAATGTTTCAACTGTGGAGAAAATCATCCAGCGAACTACCGTGGATGCATTGTGATTAAGGAACTACAAGCCATCAGAAATAAGAAAACAGTAAATTCAATCTCCTATGCCGAAAAAGCAAGTGGTGCAACTACAGAAAAAACTGTAAGTACATTAATCGATAAGAAGGCTGACAGTAAATTAGATCTAATACTTGAAAAAATACTTGAATACCTGAAAAACAAGAAGAAATAATAAAAACTTTATATACTCGTTTAGATTTCATTGAAAGCAATTTAAACCAAGAAGCGATTCAAAAAAGAAATCAAAATGTCTAAAAAGCAGCAACTAAACATAATGTTGTGCAATTCCAATGGTTTTCGACAGCATCAAAACACACTACCAATAATACTTAAAGAAAACAATATTGATATATGTC